TTCAAACTGTAAGAATGAGTTATACTACTGTTTTCGAAAAAAAGTCTGGCTCAAGGTTTCATCAATATTTTTCAGTTTTAAAGGTTTAATAGTAGTTGCAAGTTCAACTACTATTAAATTTTTAAAGTTAAACAAACTTGATGAAAAAGTGTGCCAGATTTTTTTTCAAAAACAATAGTGAAACGGTTGCCAATATATACTAACTATAAGATGGAGCGCGCGCCAAAAAAACGCGATTTTTTTGTCAAAATTTGTGACAACGCGCGTCAACGGCTTTTTTGACTGTTTTTCAAAAATTTGCCTGCCGCGCAGACAATTTTGCCAAAATAGGGGCAAAACAGTGCTTTGGGAGAGCTCGAAAAATCAATTTGATCGACCTAAAAAAAAAAAGGTCGTCATAATTTTCGATTTTTTTTTGAAAATCCGCCCCCCCCCTCGAGAAAATCCTAGATCCACCCCAGGTGAAACGCATGCTTACAGTTTGAAAAAAAGTTTTTGGGTAGTTGAAAAATTAGCTCAAAAAAATCAGACCAGTTATGTTAATTAGTTGCTTCGTTTTCTTCGTTTTTCCTGTTGTAATTAACTGAAGTTTCTAGTCCTTGCTTTATTTGACCGAGTTTTGTTGTCAAAAGAGTAAAAACGTCAAAATCAATTTGTTTTCTGAAAAAGAGGGACACTTTAATAAACAAAACTTTTTTTTTTCATTAAAGCTCATGACTTAATTCGATTTTTTAATATTTAATTTCTAAAACTTGATCCTGTTGTCAACCAGCCCGAATTATTTTGCGATATGGGGTTCAAAATAACATGAATGCTACAAGATAAGTCATTGAGACTATGTCCTCGCACAAAGTACATCCTCGACTATTTGTACTGAGAGATCTCCCTGCCTAAATGAAGTTGAGCAATAGTCGTCAATAGACCTCATAATTTTTGGCAGAACGTAAATTCTTTTCTATGGAGAGATGTGAAGAACTTAGGAAGATATTATATAAGAAAAACACCTCATGGCACGACGCACAAAGGATAAAAAAAATCCACACAAAACTCCCCAAATTTGCAAAAACACAATAATTGGTTGTCCTAGAACTACATAGCCGTAATTGCTTCAAAATCAACAAACTTCAGAAACAGTTAACAACGCACCAGCAAACACAAAACTGATAGAAACAAAAATTAAGACTAAACAAATGCAAAGAAAAGATAAAGGGTAAATCCGAATCTTGAGTTGAGGGAAAACAAAAACATTCAAGCGAACAGCAAGTGTGTACTGTGGAGACATCATGTAGGACACATGGAGACATCCCGTAGTGGAGACATCCCGTAGGACTCATGGAGACATCCTGTAGTGGAGACATCCCGTAGTGCAGACATCCCGTAGTGGAGACATCCCGTAGTGGAGACATCCCGTAGGACTCATGGAGACATCCAGTAGTGGATACATCCCGTAGTGGAGACATTCCGTAGTGGAGACATCCCGTAGGACTCATGGAGACATCCAGTAGTGGATACATCCCGTAGTGGAGACATCCCGTAGTGGAGACATCCCGTAGCACACCTGTGGCGGAGACATCCCGTAGTGGATACATCCCGTAGTGGAGACATCCCGTAGTGGAGACATCCCATAGTGGAGACATCCCGTAGGACTCATGGAGACATCCAGTAGTGGATACATCCCGTAGTGGAGACATCCCGTAGTGGAGACATCCCGTAGTGGAGACATCCAGTAGTGGAGACATCCCGTAGTCGAGACATCCCATAGTACTCATGGAGACATCCTGTGGTGGAGACATCCCGTAGTGCAGACATCCCGTAGTGGAGACATCCCGTAGTGGAGACATCCCGTAGGACTCATGGAGACATCCAGTAGTGGATACATCCCGTAGTGGAGACATTCCGTAGTGGAGACATCCCGTAGGACTCATGGAGACATCCAGTAGTGGATACATCCCGTAGTGGAGACATCCCGTAGTGGAGACATCCCGTAGCACACCTGTGGCGGAGACATCCCGTAGTGGATACATCCCGTAGTGGAGACATCCCGTAGTGGAGACATCCCATAGTGGAGACATCCCATAGTGGAGACATCCCATAGTGGAGACATCCCGTAGTGGAGACATCTCATAGTGGAGACATCCCATAGTGGAGACATCCCATAGTGGAGACATCCCGTAGTGGAGACATCCCGTAGTGGAGACATCCCGTAGTGGAGACATCCCGTAGTGGAGACATCTGTAGTGGAGACATCCCGTAGTGGAGACATCCAGTAGTGGAGACATCCCGTAGTGGAGACATCCCATAGTACTCATGGAGACATCCTGTGGTGGAGACATCTCGTAGTGGAGACATCCCGCGGTGGAGACATCCGGTAGTGGAGTTATCCCGTAGTGGAGACATCCCGTAGGACTCATGGAGACACCCTGTGGTGGAGACATCCCGTAGTGGAGACATCCCGTGATGGAGACATCCCGTGGTGGAGACATCCCGTAATAGAGACATCCCGTAATAGAGACATCCCGTAGGACTCATGGAGACATCCTGTGGTGGAGACATCTCGTAGTGGAGACATCCCGTAGTGGAGACATCCCGTAGGACTCATGGAGACATCCTGTGGTGGAGACATCCCGTAGTGGAGACATCCCGTAGGACTCATGGAGACATCCTGTGGTGGAGACATCCCGTAGTGGATACATCCCGTAGTGGAGACATCTCGTAGTGGAGACATCCCGTAGGACTCATGGAGACATCCTGTGGTGGAGACATCCCGTAGTGGAGACATCCCGTAGGACTCATGGAGACATCCTGTGGTGGAGACATCCCGTAGTGGATACATCCCGTAGTGGAGACATCTCGTAGTGGAGACATCCCGTAGGACTCATGGAGACACCCTGTGGTGGAGATATCCCGTAGTGGTTACATCCCGTTGTGGAGACATCCCGTAGTGGAGACATCCCGTAGGACTCATGGAGACATCCTGTGGTGGAGACATCCCGTAGTGGAGACATCCCGTAGGACTCATGGAGACATCCTGTGGTGGAGACATCCCGTAGTGGAGACATCTCGTAGTGGAGACATCCCGTAGGACTCATGGAGACATCCTGTGGTGGAGACATCCCGTAGTGGAGACATCCCGTAGGACTCATGGAGACATCCTGTGGTGGAGACATCCCGTAGTGGAGACATCCCGCAGGACTCATGGAGACATCCTGTGGTGGAGACATCCCGTAGTGGAGACATCCCGTAGGACTCATGGAGACATCCTGTGGTGGAGACATCTCGTAGTGGAGACATCCCGTAGGACTCATGGAGACATCCTGTGGTGGAGACATCCCGTAGTGGATACATCCCGTAGTCGAGACATCCCGTAGTGGAGACATCCCGTAGGACTCATGGAGACATCCTGTGGTGGAGACATCCCGTAGTGGAGACATCCCGTAAGACTCATGGAGACATCCTGTGGTGGAGACATCCCGTAGTGGAGACATCCCGTAGGACTCATGGAGACATCCTGTGGTGGAGACATCCCGTAGTGGAGACATCCCGTAGGACTCATGGAGACATCCTGTGGTGGAGACATCCCGTAGTGGATACATCCCGTAGTGGAGACATCTCGTAGTGGAGACATCGCGTAATGGAGACATCCCGTAGTGGAGACATCCCGTAGTGGAGACATCCCGTCGTGGACACATCCCACACAAGGACAGAACAGATCAAAAGCAAAGAACAATATTCATTGAAGTCTGGGTCAAAAAATTTTGATGAAACGCCGGTTTCAATAAAAAATCCAACCAATAACGTTCAAATGATATTAACTAGAGACCTCTGGAAAAATGGAATTTTCATAGTAGAAAAATCATAGCAATCGCAAGATCATTTTCATCTGCCGAGTCTCGAAGAAGAACGAATATTTCGAACAATTCAACTCGGAGATAGTGAAGCTAGACAGAGACGAAAAATGAACCAGAAATATGTTTACAGCACACATAGCAAATCAGAAAACTTCTAAAGCGCAAGTCCCAAAAATGGGGGCAACAAAAAAAACTGCTAGTTATTAAACCGCGGAGAAAAGATAGCAAACAGAATAAAACGATAAAAAATTAAAGTCAAGGCCATGCAAGCATATCAGTGATTCTAATCTAAGTAAAACAAGAACAAATTGGTTTGCTGAGCCATAAAAGCAACAGTCCAGGTTTTGCTCAAAAAGTGCAGAAAAAAAAGTGCAGAAAAAAGGGGAGAAATTTCTAAATTGTTTGCCGTTTAGCAGGTGTAAAATTTGTGAATGAAGAATTTGTGGAGGCAGAAAAGACACAAACTGACCAACCAGAAAAGAATGCAGACCCGGTAGCGTTCGCAGACTATATATCTGCAGACTACGGGGAAACAATGAAAAAAGACAAATTCACAGTTATGGCCATACAAAGAACGTTAGAAAAACGATAGACTACGCAGAAGACGACCTACACTACCATATTGTGAAACTCAAAACTACATGAGAACCAATCATAGCAAAAGCCGATGAACTTCCCTGACGAACGAATAAATTGGTAAATGCCATCTGATAACAACAGTGTCTACATCACACCACTGTAGGGACTAAACTAAAACTACGTTTCAAATCAAGTGGCAAAGTCGAAAGATAAATTGAGCACCTCAACCCTGGCAGACTCGATGGCATAGAGTGGTCTTACCACTGGAGGTCAACCAAGCTTATTGGCATTCAAGACTAGACAACCTAACATAATTACTTGAATTTAACTTAGCTAAAACACTTTATAAATCCTGTCGGATAACACTCAGCAATAGGAAAGAATTGGAGCGCCATAGGTTGAGAAAACCTTTCAAATCGCTCAAATTTTGCTTCAAAAAAGTGCCTTTCCAGACTTTGCGCGTCCGTCGCGACTCAAATCGCGTTTTTTGCGACTCAAAAACCTCTGCGCAACTGCATTCGTGTTAACTTAAGTCGTGCACCTCGACTCGGTTATGAAAGAATAGGAACTCACATCGGCACATCCTGTTAGCAGCCAATTCACCGTAATCGAATGATCTGCTTTGATCCTCTCCGAGATCTCTTCAGATGGCTTTGCAGGAACAGTAGACGCCAGAACTGAAGTATTCGTCTGGCTCGTTTCCCCGTTGAACCAGGTGCTGAAATATTTTCAACCAATTCAACCACCGTATGTGGAATCCAGCTCATGATTGTTTAAAAAAATTAAATCTGTGGAATCCAAATCAGTATAAAAAATTTGGCGTAATATTATATTGCAATGCCAAAGTTTTGTTCTGATTTGGATTCAACAGACTTTGTCTCTCTCTATACTGTAGAAACAAACAGGATTCCAAATACGATCGTTGACTTGGAATTGAAGGACCCTGTTTATAAGCATGAACTGAAGAAGACCAAAATCATTCACTTTTTTAGTCTTTATTCGTTTTAGGTTCTGTTTGCCATTTCAGTTTTATACAGCCATGTCAGCCATAATCTTGCCAACGTATTCCACGAACTTTGAGCGCTAAAAGTACCAAACGCGCTTATATTGAAACAAAAATGTCGTATTAGAGCAAAATCGTGTTTTTTTAATTTAAGAGCTGAAAATTTGAAATAAAATAGATGAAAAAGTGAGTTAGAAATGTCTTTTAAAGTGAATAACATAATATGATTTCGGGAATATTCTCTATAAAAAGAAAATGTAGATTTAATGTGTCTATATATATTTTTATTTCGTCTGAATTTTTTGAGTTTCGAGCTCACATTTCAAACTGTATTTCACTCGTGATATTTTTTTTCGTAAAGTTATGGTGGCTTAAAAAATGTCAGATTGGCTGTTTGGACAACTAACTCGTTCTGTGTTTCGTTATGTTTTGATTGTTTTGCTCTGTTTTGAACAAGTAAATTGGGATGTGTTTCGGCTATTTAAAAAGGTTTAGAAGTTTCATCCTAGACGTTAATAACAACAGTTTTTGGTTCAGATAACGTGTGTTGGAACATTTTCAACAAGAACAGAATCTGAAAAAACAGCATAAGTTTTGTTGTGTATTTTCATCAGTTTTTTTGGTGATGACTATCGGGAAGTCGGAACATCTAGGACTTTACCCTGATGCGAGCAGTCTTGTTTAGTTCAGATGCAACCCATGCTTTTAATTAACAAACTAAAAAGTTCTTGAAATTTTACCAGATTTAGTATGGTATAATTTTTTTGTCAATCTAATTTGCAGCCAAACTACCAACTCAATGGTTGAAAAAACTACATCAAAGTGTTCCACTGATCTAACCAAAAAATGTTTAACGAGGATAAAAATTTCAGATTATATCAAAAACTTAGTGAAAAAAAAATTGTTTGATATAAGAAATGCCAGTGATTTAGCTGGGAACAGTTACTAACTCCATGCAATTTGCAAACTCACAACCGAGTCAGCTGACTCATATTCATGTAATTGAAGAAAACATCAATAATTACTAGTCAGAAAACCCAAGCTAAAAACTGTTTTTGTAAAATCAATAGAAAATATAAAATCAATTTGCCACTGAGAGGCCATCAGTGATCTTGTCAAGGTTGATAAGTAGTATCACATCAACGGCATCGATTGTTTGACGATTGTTTGGTTGATTCACCCGCGTCACGTGCTCTAATTTCTCCTATAACTTTCCTACGAAAGAAATTAGTTCTATGGACAATTATCTATAGTTAATTTTCCATCAAAGAAATTTTTCTGTTTCAACTTCAAACACAGATGAGATTCAACAGCAAAAAATAGTTACGGAGAATCGTTTAGAGAAAAGGCACAATCAATGAAAGAGATTCCACCTAATATCAGTCCATTCAGTACATTCTCAGCGGTGAACACATACCATCTTAGGGCTGGTGGTTGTTGATCACTTCACCATTGTTAATCATATTAACACTTTCCTTTAACTTTTTGACCAATATTGTTTTTTCCATGATGTTTTTGCTGTTTTAGATTCCACGAACATATAACTAGAAAAATGTAGCACTCAAAATTGCTCCAAAAGCTGCAACATTTGTGGAATCCGGAACAAAAGCTGCAAAATTTGCGGAATCCGGAACAAGATCAACTTACTGCACCAAAGCAAATGAGCAGAAATATAGTGGTAACGCTTGATATCTCGTTAAACTCTGATGAGACAAAGCATTATTTATGCTTGTGGTGATTTTCTTTATTCATTCAACTTTCGGTTTTGTTAAACAATTTTAACAAAAATTCTTATACCAACTGACAGATATTTTTTGTCTTGAGCTCAAAATTGTAAAAATTATTTCACCTTTGATTACTTTTCATAAATTACTGGAGCTTAGAAATAGCTAATTTTCCAATTTGGGATAATTGAAGTGAAACAATTTGCATTCTGATAACACGGGTTAACCGTGGATTATTGTGTTCTAAAGTGAATTGAGGCAAGTCATTTGCTCGTATTTTTAGAAAACAAGACACCAAATAGATACCTTTGTTTTTTTTCCATGTTGGGGTATGAATTGAAGACAAGAAAAGAGAAAGAAAACTTTTTTCTTTATTTCGTAGAGTTTTCAAGCAAACAAGCATCCTCGCTTCGCAATCCAAAGAACTCCAGACTGATACTCGTACGCATTGGAAGTTTGAAAAACTCGTCTCAATAAAAAACCTTCCCAAACATATTTACATTTGTATCACTTTCCTCGAAAGTCGGAACAACATTTTTTAAATTAGCCATAAAATGCAATCGGAACAATTAGTGATTCGCCCTGATATACGTGCAGTCTTTTCAGTCACATTACTTGGTTACTAGAAAACTCAAATGCTAGATCGACTATCGTTTTTTAACAATCATAAAGAGTCTAAATTAAGTTAGTAAACTTGGTTAAATAGACAATACTGGCAGCTGTCGGAAAATTATAATAATTAGCAAAAAAATTGGACAGTCAGAATCAGTTAAATTAAGTAAATGACCAATTTCAGCCATATGTATCATGCAAATATTTCAGACAAAATTTGCTCAAAAAAGCATTCAGTCACAAACAGGGGCGGATATAGGATTTTTTGAGGTTGCCGGATTTTCAAAAAAAATTCGAAAATTATTTCGATTTTTTTAGGTCGACCATATTGATTTTCCGAGTTATCTCAAAGCACTATGAAGGCCCTATTTTGGCTAAATTTTCTGCGCCGGAGTCAAAATTTTGAGGAAACATGCTAAAAAAGCCATTATTAGGCACTTTTGGAAAATTTTGATCAGAAAATGTCTCAAAGTACTATGAAGACCCCATTTTGGCCAAACTTTCTGCGCCGGAGTCAAAATTTTGAGGAAACATGCTAAAAAGGGCATTTTTAGGCACTTCTGAAAATTTTGATCAGAAAATGTCTCAAAGTACTATGAAGAACCCATTCTGGCCAAATTTTCTGCGCCGGAGTCAAAATTTTGATGAAACATGCTAAAAAAGTCATTTTTAGGCGCTTCTTAAAATTTTGATCAAAAGAAAGCGCTTTTTCAGCGCGCGCTCTCCCCTCAAAATTTGTATGCATTGGCGCCAAGGGAGCCTATAGAAAATTTGTAGGGTCCGTCACCAGAAATAGATATCTCAAAATATTACAAAATAGTCTCCACGACTTCTGCAAAATCAATTCCAGTTGCAGACAGATTTTTCTTCAATAAAAACTCTTCAATAAAATCTCTTTAAACGCAACCAAGTATGAGCTATGAAACAAATAATTCTATACAATCATTGGTTTGATGATAATTTGGCTGGCCGGGTCAAAATTGCTCACTAATTTTGTTTTTTTTTTCGTGGAGGGAACTGAGCATAACTTGTATTAAAATGAGCTATTTGAGCAAAATTTTTTAGCAAACTGGATCCAACTTTTTTAATAAGGGACAGCAGTTTTAACTAGAGAGAGATCCGCTGAATTTGGCAAGGTTCTCGATAATTCAAATTAAATAAAAAACTGAGAACTTTTCTTTGTTTGTTCTTATACTTCAAGCGTATTAAAAAAAATTATACCATTTGGATTATGAAAACCATAGAATAAAATATTCGATCTGTTGATATCAATTTTAGCAAACAGCTGAAGCGATTAGACATATTAGCCTGGTTCTATATGCGATGTTGGAGCCACCCCTTTGATAACTACTGAAAAATTTCTACTCCCATAATTGAAAACAGTAAATTATTACTTGAGCGTTCTATTTACCACTCGAGTTTTGCTGCATTCTGATTGATCGTATTTAACATTCATGTTTTCTAAGTCTTAAGTTCAGTCTCTTTGTTGTTCACAGAAGGCAATAATATATTTAATAAATTTCCTACAAATCACGAGAGTATTCAACGATTTTTGCAAGAACTAAAATGAGACAGTTTAAGTCGTGAATATCCGTCGGAGAGGGAGCTCGTAATTAGTAACCAAAGGGAAAGGGATTGAGCCCAGTTTTTCTCGTTGTATGTCTACTAAAGTGGTCTCAAATCTCCTTTTTTGACAATACGAGTGCAAGTTTCAACGCTGGTCTTGTTGAAGTACCTAGGTCTGCTTTTATTTACACGAGAGCGCGATATCATCCGAGCAGGTAAAAACTTCTAGCCCCGAACCATTGGCCAGATGCCCCGTTTTGTAAAATTCTCAAGTCTCCAAACGAAGTCGTCTTTTTCGAGTAGATCATCGGGTTGCGTCCATTAAGTCCTTTTGACGTGAGTCAAAGCGTACTCCTCTTTAAATAGGAACCTGCAGAAGCTGTCAAGTCTATCTTTTGCTCGCTTCCATAATTCTACTGGTAGATGATTCATAGAAGACTGCTGCCGGAGCGTAGACAAATGGACGACCCATTAGGAAGTGACTGGGTGTCAGTAGAAGGTCGTCGACAAAGTCACGACTGGCATGTTTTAGCGGACGTGTTTTAGCTTTGCCTGAGTATCGGCTACAATAGTAGTGATTAGATCTCTTGATAGCCGATCAGAATCAGTCTTTAAGAAAAGCACTCGTTTTATTTTTGAAACGAGGAGTCGCTCCCACACGCCGCCGAAAGGAAGTTGACGAAGGATTTGGGCGCTATTAAGCATTAGGGATTTGTAGCTTTTCATTCAGCGTAGTTTCAATGAGGTCAAGTGATTCTAAAAAAATTTGCTTACAGGCGCCGATGAAGTGAGCAGTGTTGTCAAATTAAAAGA